ATATGCATCCTTGCAGGTTAGATGTGTTTCCTGAAGACAGCATATACTTGGCCTGTATTTTCTTATCCATTCAGCCAGCCTATGTCTCTTGAGTGGAGAGTTTAAGCCATGCACATTTATTGAGAGAACTGATAGGTAAGGTAGATTACTGTTTATTCTGTTGGGTTGGATGTTGTTGCTTTGATTTCTCTCTTGAGCCATTGTATTATCTGGCTTTAATCTTTGGGTTTTGGTTGTAAAAACACTTTCTTGAACAGCCTGCTAGCAGCAGTAGACAGAGACATGGGTGTGGAAGGTTTTCAAAAGGAGTTTAGCATGAGGGATGCCCTATATAATGTTGCCAGTGCTTGGATCACAGTGACTAAAGACACAGTTGTGCATGCCTGGCATAACCTCTGACCTGCAAGTATGTTTAGTGGTGATGATACACAATGTGGTGATTTAGAGGGTTTTTGTATCTCAAACAAGGGAAAAAAATTATGACTGATGACCTTACATATGCAAAAAGCATACCTTTCAAGTTCATCAGTAAGCTGGAAGAAGTGAATATTGAAGAAATTTTAACATCGATAATGAGGCTCTAGTTATTCCTTCAGTGACTGATGGTGAAATAGCCAAAAAGATTCTGAATTCAGGTAACAGTGGTAACAATGACAGTGAAGGTGACATGAATGCTGTAGAAAACGTGCCTATAGACATGGTGAACATGTGTCATGGGCTCATTAAAGGACTAGAGCAGCATGCATTCATAACAGAACAAGAACTCATTTGAGTTTGTAAAATCAAAGACTTCTAAGACCAAAAACATTGTTAAATGAAACGGATAACTCTAGAGGGAACATTTTAAAAAAAAAAGCCATCCAGCAGAACGCTTCCTCATCCATAGAGCCTCCACTTCCTGGTTCCTCTATTGCTTTTAATGTTTCTTCTCACCCAAAGAAATAAGCTGCAGTGTACCGTAACCTTTTAATCAGAACAGGGCATTGTACTTGGAGATCGCAAGCCTGCCGTTGTCTGTTGTTGCTTTTGTTTAACAGCTGGTCCTGGTGTTTTGGTGCTGCTGCTGTGCTGCTTAGTTACCCTGAACACATTACTTTTTCACTTGTTAAGAATATGCCATGTTTTCTACTGTTAAGTATGTATGTGTGAATAAGTGTAAGAAAATGACTGCTTATCAGTAGCATATAAATTGAGAGTCAGCAATGATAGTGATGCCAAACAACACCCATTGTCCACATGGGTGGCTGAGATAATGACACCTTTGCTTTCTGATGAGTCATTGTACACCAACTTTATTTAATGCACAAAATTATTTAAAATATTATATAAAATTACTTTAAGGTTATGTATATAAGGTATATATGGAACATAAATGAATTTCATCTTTAGACTTGACAAGATATCTCATTATGTTACGTTCAAATATTCCAAACTCCATACAAATCAGAAATTGGAAACCCTTCTGGTCCCAAGCATTTTGGATAAGGAATATTCAACCTGTATACACAAACACATATATACAGATAGATATTAGGTAGGTTAATCAGTAGGTAGGTGGTCAGTAGGTAGATTGATATCCCAGGCTTTTATTCTAGAGCTTCAGACCCATATTTTCATTTACCAAAGGTATCTCCAGTTCATTATGTCTAAAACCAGACTCATAATTTCTCCTCCACCCATCTCGATCCTTTTCCAGTATCTTCAGTCTGTGTGGACAGCTCCCCACCCAATAGTTGTGCAGTCCCAGACCCAGGGGCCATCTTCTTTACCCACCTGGTTCTCTTTTTGTCTAGCCCATCACCAGATTCTGTTCATTTCACCTTCGAAATATCTTCCAGAAGTCGCTTGCTCCCCTCCTTTGCTGGCCTGTCCTCCCCAGTCCTGAGCCACCATCATCTTTGACCTGGACCATTGCAGTGGCCTCTCAGCTTGTCTGTCTACATCTGCTCTTCCCCCTTTGGTCATTCTTCAGTCAGTCGCAAGAGCGATCTTTCTGAAACCCAGATCTAATCACGTTATGCTGCTGCCCGAAGCTCTTCGATGTCTTCCCTGTTGCAACTAGAGAAAACACAAGATTCTTTACTCTATTTCCTGAAAGATCTGAGGTGGTCCAGTCCCTCCCTCCCTCCTTCTCAAGCCTTATCTTGTGCACCGCGCTCCCTTGTTTCTGCTGTCACTTCCACGCGGCTGTCTTCCAGTCACTCATTACCCTCCTCCTCTTCATCATCGTCATCATCATTTCTTCTTGCCACAGGACCTTTACACATGCCACTCTCCCCAACTCATCCTCAGAGCTTGTCTTAACCACCGCCTGCCTTCAGGTTATCCTTCCCCAACTTCCCCTATAACAAGCCCCTTCCTTTTTTTCTTTGAGCCCTGGGTGCAGTTCTTCCCCTTCATTTGCAGCTTTGTATATTTATTTGTGTTATTATTTGATTATCTACCTCTCTCTGACTCTTTTGTAAGCTCTGTAAGGACAAGGCATATCTCTGACTTTCTCAGTTCTGCATCCAAAGAGTTCATCATAGCAACTATCATACAGCAAGTTTCATTAAGTATTTGCTGAATGAATGAACAAACAACGCATCCTGTAAAAATGAAGCAAATTTTTAAATTTAGTTGGTTTGTTGAATAAAGGTATATAGTAGAGGAAAGGAAAGGAAACCAGCCTTACAGGAGCCTCTTTCACATACCAGACAGTTGAGTTATAATATTTAGATGGAAGCAATGAATTGTCATGGACAGTTTTGCTTTTTTAACTCCTTTAAGGACTTTTTATGTATATTTCATGCAAATAACATGGGTGGCAAGATTATTTTCAGTGATTTAATACAATCTGAAATATGTCTCTGAAATACTATTCTATTTTTCCATTAACATATTTTAGCAATTTTCCAACTTGCACGGCTGGGCATTTGATTAACAGGGGGGAAAAAAAGGAATTGGAGATGTAATTAACACCTGGGATGCAATTGCCTTATTAATCTCTAATGTAACTTTAACAGCATTAAATATACATATATCTTAGTCATGGCTGCTTAACTTTTGACTCTCTATGCAGCACACAGCTCTGAGACCTAGTTGTAACAGGCATGGGAAACACCTTTTTTAATTATGGTGATGGTGCCTTTCCATGATTGGAAAAAATACAAAATGCTATTTACATGAGGGGGAGAAGCAAATTGTAGAGTGGATGGATAATCTCCATTGCTGCCCTTCTTAGTCTCCCAAAATTCTCTTCCTTTTCCTAGTGACTCCATTTCTGCTGGATAATGACATGCACTAAAACCAACCCTTCAGTTCTTCCCTGTGGTTACGATTTAAACCAGTTTAGTTTTGAACATATTGTATTTGAAACTCTCTTGAGATAACCAAGGTAATACATTGAATAGGCAGGTGGATATGCTGGCCAAAAGCTCCAGAATAGGTATCTGGGGTTATGATATTACCTGCAGGGTCCAGGTGTAGATAGTACCTAAGCGAGAGGCTGGTGACTGTGGCCAACCAAAGATCACACTCCCTGTCCGAAGGAGGCAGCCATCAGCAGCCCAGGGAATTTTGCCAAGTGGTGCTGATACTGTATCTTACAATTTTTTAAGAGATGCTAGAAAGAAAAGCAGACTTTTATGTGAAATATCCAAATTTTTAACTCTTGCCAACTAAAAATTTTGTTTTCTAGACATTGAACAGAACACGAAAAAAAATATATCTATGGGCTGGATCTTTCTCCTGGCCACCAGTTTGTGACCCCTGGTCAAAACTCTTTGTCCCAGCTCTCTAGGTCTTCACAGTCTGTTTTGACTGTACTTATCCAGGATTAATTCTTGCTGCTGTTTCAAACATTCTGTATTTGGAGTAGACTTGAATCTCTCCTATGTCCCAAACATAGCAGGCCATTCACGTGTCTACAGCTTAGCTTCTCCCTGCAGTTACCCCATGTGGACTACCTCCTCTTGCCTTCTGGTTATCCAGTGAGATCCAGCTTAGGTCCTTGGTGCAAAAGTCTGCCCCCAGATACCCCAGCCTAGACTCGGCACTTAGGTGCGAAACACTTAATCACACACGTGGTCCTTCATGGCCGACTTCCAGTATATGTGTCTTGTCTTCACGTATAAGTCGGTTTCCAGGCAAAGGACTCAACCTGGGAGTCTGTCCTGAGGCACTACAGACTCTCATGCGTGGATGGGACTGTATAGGACAGTGAATCTCTTTGGCAGCATCACTTCTCTTACATGCCTTGGGTGACAAGGAGTTCACTGCCCTTCTTGCACCATGCTGGCTTTGGACAGCTCTGGCCTTAGAAAGTGTTTGTTTGCTTAATCAAGCAGAAACTTACCTCCCGCTGTGACTTTGTTGTCCCTGAGCATTTACCTTGAATTCTTTTGCCTTGTGCAGTTGTTTCCTGAATAAGGAGGACTCTAGTCAACAGAAAGTAGCTTTTCTTGTGCATCTAATGTGCCCATCTAAATTTTAACAGGGTTTTGATGAGAAGCAGTGTGTTTTTACTTGTGTATAGACCATACGTGTACACAATTTCTTTCCTGCCAAATTATGAGGGACATTTTAGTAATAGTTTACCTATACTCTGCCACTTTCACCATGTTTTCTTTTGAAATAACTTTTATTCGCATTAATAAATGTTTCCTAAATCCGTGACCATATGCTTTGCTTGACGTGATGTCTCTTTGGAGAACTAGTTTCTTTATTTCTTCCAGACAATCAAGACTCTAATTATTTGTCTATTAGGTTTTAAATCTCATAGTATGGCATGATGCTTAGATTCGTCACTTCTGCCTAGGATATTATGAGTATCGTCACACTCAAAAGTATTCACAGATTTAAAATTGGCTTAAGCAAGCAGACTTTTAAGACTAACGCTTTCCCTTATGGTTTTATAATATGCCGGAAATTGCACTTCAACCACAGAATTCCATGTTCTGATGTTGCCAACTGACCAAACCTCTTACTGAAAATTCATTACTGTTTTTATATGTTCTCAGGTGCCGTGATACTCTTGGGAAGAACCAATATGTTTCGCTTTAACCATCCAAAGGAAGCCGCCAAGCTCAGGGAGAAGAGGAAGGTGAGTGTGGCATCCATCTCTGTGGTATCTCCAGGAGGGAACCTCCCATGGGGATGGGGGTGGGTGGGGTGTCTGCTCTGGTGCCAACCGTTTGACTTTCTGGAATACAGAACCACTCGAAAAGTAGTTCTGTAGCCTGGGTTGATTCTAGGGAGTTTGATTCCCAGCAGATGATGGGCTGAGGATGTCGGAGAGTGAGCAAGTAAAGGCCATAACAGGCAAGGAGAAACCGCTCCTTCTAGATCCTTCTCTTCAGCCTTCTACCCCTCCCACAAAGGAACTGGGCATCATTTCACATTAAGTGGAAAGTGACTTTTACTTATCAGCATCTGTCTTAGGAATTAACCCAGTGCTGGAATCATATTCATCCGAAATCAGCCACAGTAAATGTGATTTTTCCTCGGGGTGTGACGGGGAGAGCAGCATTAGTCTAGGACAATTATGGGAGACGTCGGCTTGGTCGAAAGAAGGCAGCTGGAGGGCATTTTAAGTGCTGAGTGGAGGAGGTGGGCTGAGGACCAGAGAAGGAAGGGAGGAACTGAGAGGGAAAAAGAAATCTGTCCACAGACATTGCAGCGGGGCCTTAGACTGATGAAGATAATAAAGACGACAGCTAACAGATCTATGAGCCAGGAACGGTGCTAAACTTCTACATATATTCTGCCACTTTGTGCAGCACCTGTTACTACCCCCTTGTCACAATCGGGATGAGAAGCAGACTGAGAGAGACGCTCCCTAATTTGTTCTGTAGCCAGCAAGTGGGGTGCTGGGGCTGCAGCAGGGACCTGCATACCGGAAGCATTCGCCCTTGACCACTGAGCCACACAGCCTCTCCTCTCGCCTCCTTGTGTAAGGGCTGCCCAAGGTGCCTTAGGTGGGAAATAAGGAGAAAGCCGCAAACCCCAGCCTTCTCCAGGGCCGCTGGCTCCAGCCGGTGAAGCCTCTTATCTCTTCCAGCCCAGGGGCTCCCTAGAGGGTCCGTTTTGGTCCACGGTTTCAGAGGAACAGAGGGAAGAAAACATGTTTGCCAGTAGCTTTCCATGGAAGCAAAATAGGTCAAGCTTTTATTTTTTGGTCTCCCTTCACCTCTCCTGCCTTCATCTTTATCACTCAGTAAGTGTGAGTGAGCGCCGCTGATAACAGGAGAATGACAAAATGTCGTGACCCCTTTCCTGGACTTGAACTGGCCAGGGAGACCAACTGCATTGTGGAATTCCTGGTGAATTTCTCCAGTTCCAGAATGCCAGGGCCCTGCTGTGCTTAGCTGGGAGTCTGGGTTTTCTTAGATAGACCAGTTAATTGTTAAGCTTGTTAGTTAGGAGTGTGTGCACCTCGTTGTCTCTCACACACTGGAAGGAATGAGCCCAGAGCAGTGGCCTTCTCTGTCTGCCAAGGTAACCGCTCTGCCCTGTGTTTGCTCTTAGAGTGGCCTTCTGTCCTCCTTCAGCCTGTCCATGACCGACCTCTCCAAGTCCTGCGAGAACCTGTCCGCGGTCATGTTGTATAACCCCGGGTGAGTAAACGGCAGCGTCTCCTTCCCTGTGATGATAACTGTTGTGGCATTTATTGTGCCAACTCCATTAGAGTCACTAGATAAAAATAAAACTTCTGCAACTGCGCCTCTCATCAAATCAGCCATAGTCATTTTCCAAGTTCCTTTCCAGCCCTTGCTCTATATGTGCATAATTTTACTTAGTTATAATCACAACATAAATGGGATTGTGTTTTCTGATTTTTTTTTTTGCCTAACAGCATCATAAGCATCGGTGAGGGTTGTTACAAGGCCCATTATCATTTTCATAACTGTCTAATATTTTAGAGTCGGCACTTTGATTGCTCAGTGCACAATCCCTTTGGCTTATGCACTTTTATCTCCTTTTATAAATTATTAACAGAGGCAGCCTTGATTCTTAGGGCATCCAATAGCCCAGGAAGTTATCATCACTACTTCCAGTCACCAGGGGACCACTGAGAGCACAAACGAGAGTGTTTTAAATGGACTTAGGGGCTGGGAGACCTCGGGCAGTCAGCTTAACTGCTCAGGTCCCTAGTGGCTTCATCAGTAACATGACAGTGGTAGTGAAAATGCCTAAAAACAGGAAGCTGGATGAAAGGACTTTAGGGGTTCTTTCCAGTTTCATGTGAGGTTTCATAATTTTTATCTTTACTACTAGGAGAATCTCATATAAAATAATGGAGGTAAATCTAATAGCAAAATAAGTGAGATAAAACTAACGAGAACAACATCTTCTAGAACTGTCGTTTATTTAGTAGTTACTGTACACCAGGCAGTGAGCTAAGCACCTTGAATTCATGATCTTTTCATTCTCACTGCAGCCCTATTCCCATTTTATATGTTGGGGAAATGTATATGCGTTTGCTCACCCCTGTATCACAGTTAGTTATAGCTGTGGTACGTGTCCGGGGCTGTCTGATGCCAGCACCCATCTTTGGCTCTGTTACTGCCTGCCTTACTCCAGCTGGGGGGCCACTTCATCCCCGAGGTCAGTTCCATTGCTTGTGCCCCCCACACACTCAGCATTTCATGTGCTCAGAGGCAATCAGCCCTTCAGCTCAAGTCAGCACTGTGGTTTGTGGAAAGCAGATACTTTACAACTGTTTCTTCACTGTCATAGGAAGGACCTTTGAGCACATGTCTGGATTCCTCCTTTTATAGACCAGCAAGCTGAAGCCCAGATCCAACTCCATGCTTGAGCTAGGGGTGAAAAAAGCCAGTTAGTCCAGCCCCCTGGCTATAGGCTCCAGGGCCCCTCCCTCCTTCCAGGACGTCTGGAAGCACAAGCAGTTTCCTCCCTTGGGTCAGCCTTTGTCTTTACCGTTCAGCTTTTCCATCTTGTTACATGCTTATTGAGGAAGGTCGTGCACACTAAATAATTCTTAAAATAAGCCATATCCACACGACCCCTGAAATGTGAGAACACTCTGAGAGCAACTAAATGATCAGTCCTTTGGAAGGTAGGCTTTGCTGTAGGTCTTTAATTCCTTAAAATAGTTTTAGGAGCTGCCTTTTATGGTGACTGAGATTGAATCATTCATGTGTTTACTTTAAGTTTAATATAATACTGCAGGTCTTTAGTGTTAATTTCAGTTTAATTAGTGTGATTCCCATCTGTTAAATACTGTTTGTCTAATTAAATCGTTCTGTGACACGAAGACTCCTTGCTTGGATTTGTCTCCCGGCTCAGGACCCAGTTAATCCAGGAATCCAGGTACCACCTTCGTCGTCTTCAGCAGTGGTGATGCCTCTTAATTTGAATCCATTTGGAAATGTAACGTGGCTGTTTAATGCCTTTGAAAACCAAAAAGCAATTTTTGAAAACTCAGCCTTTCCTCTGAGACACAGGTTCACTAACCATGGGCCCCTCTTTTTCTTGCATGCACACATGGGATGGAAGCCCTTCCTTTTCTCCCCCAAACATAGGAGAACATGTAGTTCTCTTAAAAGTAATGCCATTTTTTTGTTGTTTGTTTTTAAGTTCCAACAGTTTTTCTCAGTATTTATAAAATGCAGGTCAAAGTGTGCCACTTGTCACCCTCAGAACTTTTTTTTTGACTTTCCATGGTGTGAAAAATAAAGTTCCAACCCTGTACCGCGTCACACGGGCTCTCCATCATCTGTGCCCCTCTCTCAGTGTGTCCTTGCATGCATCCTGGGCTCCACCTCCAGTGTTGTTTTCCCTGCTCAGTCTCGCCTGGACTAGCACATGCCTTTGGGGCTTCTCCCTTGCTAGTTCCAGAGCCCAAGGCGTAGCTTTGCTTCTCTGCTTTTCTACCTACTCATCCTCCAAGGCATAGTACAAACAATCTCTCCCTCTGAAAGCTGTTCCCAACTCTCCTCCCAGCAATCAGAAATGTCCCTTCTTCACTGTATAATGCCCCATTGCTGTGTTCCTCCATTGCTGTGTACATTTTGTAATGCATATCCATCTGTCAACAAATCCTTTCTGAGCACCTCCTGCGAACCAGGTGGGATTCTAGGACAGGGACACACTTGCCACTAATACTAACAAGGTCAGTTTACTCGTTGGAGGGAAGAAACAATCAACAGCTAATTTAAAATTGAATCCAGAAAGTGAAAATGAAGTGAAATCAAAGTCTTGGTAGCTTTTGATGAAGTGGTCAGGAGTCCCCTTCCTGAGGAGGGGACATTAGGTGTAAGACTTGAGTAGAGAGATGACACTCATAAAACAGAAAGGGGTAGAATGGGGAGCATTCAGACAGGGGAGGGCAAGTGCAGTGGCTTCTGAATGAGAAGTGGGAAGAGGCCCATAGTCCATGGGATGTAGGAAGCAAGAGAAGAGTGGCACAAGATGAGGTTGGGGACTGTTGAGAGCCAGGTAATACAGGGCCTTGCAGGCTACTGGAAGGAGTTGGACTTTTTGCTAGGAGAACTGGCAAACCACCAGAAGGAGAGCAGGAGCATAATGTGAAGATGCACTTACTACAAATATTAGGATGTTTGTCATTTGGAGAATGTGCCACAGAAGCAGGAGACCATTTAGAAAGCTGTTTCCTTGGTAATATAGACGTGAAATATAGTGGTGGCTTGGAACTGGATGTTAGCCACAGAGATGGATCAAAGTGGAATCAAGTGGATCGTGGGTGATTCCTTCGTTTCAGATTTAAACAGTGGGTCAGATGATACACGTTTCCTGAGATGGGTGTGACAGGGAGGATAGGCTTGGGTGGCATTGGGTGAGGATTTTGCTTGTATGTGTGTTTTTCTATTAGAGTGGAAGCTTTCTGAGGTCAGGGGCCTTGTTTTATTCTTTTCTGTATCTTAAGGTGTCATTCACATAATACACTTAATGAAAATTTAGCAAGCAAGGATGAAATTTTAGTAAGACACATGAGATCCTTTGGAAAAGATTTTTCAATTAATTTCTCTGGGTATGAATGTTCCAATATTGGAGCAAGATATATGTTATGCAGAGGAATGTGTCTTTGTGGTATAGGTCAATTTCCTGATGACACTGAAGCTATTTGAATAATCTTAAGATCACGTTTGGGATCCTTGAGCAAAAGGTGGGAAGAGGGCCTCATGATGAAATGGAGAATAGGCCCAGGCAGTCAGAGAATATAAGGGAGAAGCATCTGTTTTAGAATGAACTATAGTTGGTCGAGTAGATTGTTCTGGATGCATCAGTACTACCATTATGCATCCTGTTCACCTGACTTCAGTTAACAGGCACATTTTATCTCTGCTGCCCCTGCAGTACTAAGTATAAATTCAACTAAAAATTACTTAATACTTCATCACACCTTTTCTCTCCCTGGCTCTCAGCTCCCCTCAACTTGCCACCTGCTGTAGAGAATGATGATCCTGAATTTTAGGTCCCTGAAGGGTGGGTAGATCTTCAGTTGGCATTCTTCCCCTGATAACCACTTGAAATGCACAGTTCAGTCGTGTTAAGTACATCAACATTATTGTGCAACCAATCTCCAGAACGCATGTCATCTTGCAAAACTGAAGCTCTATATTCATTAAATGGTAGCTTCCCATGCCCTCTTTCTTCTAGCTCCTAACAACCAATGTTCTACTTTTTGTCTCTGTGAATTTGACTTCGTTAGGTACCTCATCTAAGTAGAATCATCCAGTGCTTGTCCTTTTGTGAGTGGCTTATTTCATTTAGCATAATGTCTTTAATTAAGGTTCCTCCACTTTGGAGCATGTGTCAGAATTTCCTTCCTTTTTATCACCAAATAATATTCTATTATATATTTCATATATACCACATGTTGTTTATCCATTCATCTACGAGGGGCACTTGGGTTGTTTCTACCTTTTGGCTATTGTATTCTGCGGACGTGGGTGTACAAATATTTGTTTGAGTCCCCGATTTCAGTGTTTTGGGGCATACCCACAAGTGGAATTTCTGGGTAATACAATAGTTCTATTTTTAATTTTTCAGAGAACCATCATGCTATTTTCCATAGCAGCTGCGCCATTTTACATTCCCACCAATAGGGCACAAGGGTCCCAGTTTCTCCACATCCTCACCAACACTTGTGATTTTCCGTTTTTGGATAGTACCCATCGTAATGGGTATGAGGTGGTATCTTATTCCTTTTTTTTTTCACTTTCTTTCCTTCTGTTTTCCAAGAATGTCCAATTTTTAAAACAGCATTTGGAAATATAGAAATAAAGAATATCTGAAAATTCAGTTCCCCCAATAAGTATAGTAAATAAATGATGAGTGTAGATCTAACATGGATGTATCCTGATGATTACATGACCTCTCTTAGGTTCTGCCAAGTTCAGTTCAACCAGCTCTTTCCCATCTTTCTCAAGACCCAGTCAATGGTAGGAGTCCAAGGCGTGTTTATAGCCAAGGAGCAGCCTGACCACCCTTGCATTGAGAGGGAGTGCTCTGATGGCAGAGCATCGAGAACCTGGAGAAGCTGTATATGAGGGTGCTAGACGTGAGGGCTCGAGCTCAGCAGTGTTGGCAGAAATCCAGAAGGCGGCCGAACTGTGGAGATAATCAGAGC